TGTTGCTGGCTGAAGGGCAATCTCTTCCATGCTGCTTATAGACAGAATTTCCCCTAGATCCCAAAATTAGGCATGATGTATGCATGCAAAAAACCAAAACCCCAAAACAGTTTAAGAATTCAGGGCCTTCAGGAGGATCAAGGCATAAAGGCAGATTCTGCTTATCAAATCCACAACAATTCCATTAAAAAGTGGGTCTATGAGCCTTTCTTTAGCATTTCCTAATCATGCCTCGAGAGTAATTTTTCACAGATAAGTATGTAGACCTAACACGTACAGATTACATGGTAACAAAGGCAATTATCCATCCATATGGCGTTCCAGCAGTTGTGTAGCATTTAACTCACATAACTGGGCCCCGGACATTGCAACCAGCTTCTGATTTATGCCTCACCACTTCCCTTTCACATTCTGAGTCACAAGCATTCGCGTCTCTGAGGCTTTTGCGAGTGTTCTCTAACCCATTTCAGGGTGACCCCCGCACTCCCATTCCCTTTGTTCTGCCATGGACGACTCCTGGATGTATTTTCCCCGCCACCAGCGGGGATCCGCAGTCCCTGGCCGGCGCTGTCCTTACGGGTTTTCAGGGCAGAAGCGATGGATGCTGTGATGCACCTGGCGCAGGTGACCTTTGGATGAGGATCTGCGGTGCCGCAGACCCGACCCCAAACCTGAGCGGTGCCTCAGGGAGCGGGCACAGCCGATCCGCCCCGGGCCGGGCAGGGACACGCTCCCACCGGCGCCGGGGCTGCCCAGCAAATGTTTGCCATGTTCTGTCAGCTCTGAACCCTTCTCACGGTTCCCCTCAGCCCCGGCCCGGCTGCGGGACCCCCCCCCGTTCCCGGGATTTTCCCATTCCCGGGATCCCCCCACTCCGCTCCCGCCCCGCTCCCTCAGCGCCGGCAGCGCCCCCTCGCGGCCCTCAGGCACCGCCTCGGGGAGGCCACGCCCCCTCGCCCCCGGCTCCGCCGCGGATTGGTGGGAGCGGCCGAGGGGCGCTCAGAAGTCCCGCCCTCCCCTCGCGCGGCGCCCCCTGCGGGCCCCGCGGCGCGTGCGCAGCGGCGGCGGGGCGGCCCCGGCCGTTGTTGTGGAGGGGCCGGTCAAGATGGCGGCCGGGCAGGGGGGCGGCGGCGGCAACAACGGGAGCGGCGGCGGGAGCGGAGCGGCGGGGCTGGGCATCCCCGCGCACCTCACCCTCTCCTTCTCGGCCGGGCCGCACTGGGGCGCGGCCGCTCTGCCGCAGCCGCACACGGTGCGCAGCCTGGAGCGGGCCCTGGAGGAGGCGGGCAGCTCGGGCATCCTCTGCCTCAGCGGGAGGAAGCTGCGCGACTTCCCCGGCAGCGGCTGCGACCTGAGCGACACCACGCAAGCGGGTGAGGGGACTGCGGCTGTGGCGGGGACGGGGCTGCGGGGGCCGTGCGGGGCGGGTGCGGGCCCGGCCGTGCGGGCGGGGGGCGCGTCCCCGCTGTGGCGGCCGGGGACGGGCAGTGGGGGGTGCGGGCCCTGCTGCGGGGGCTGCAGCGAAGGGGTCCCTGTGGTGATAGGGCAGCGCTGCGGGGGCTGTGGGAGCAGCTGGGGGGTGACACCGCAGCGGCTGCTCTGGGCGACGAGCGGTCCCGCTGGGTGAGGGCAGGGGGGACAGCGGGGAGGCCCCACGTTTGGGGGGCTCTCCCTTGCGGCAGCAGGACGGGGTCTGCAGGATGTGGGGGTGCAGTGGGGGGGGGCTCCCCCTGCGCGCACTGGGGGCGGTTCTGCCGCGGGTGTCTCGGGGGAGCGTCCCTGCAGCTCTCTGGGAGCGGCACCCGGTGCCTCCTGAGGGCGAGCGGAGCGGGGGGTCCTGGGGGTGCCTCGGGAGGTGGGGGGCGAGGGGCCCCAGCAGCGAGTGGCTCTGTGTGAGTGTGAACGCTCAGGGCTGTGTGTGAGTGTGACTGTGAAGGCACAGGGCTCTGTGTGTGTGTGAGCGTGTGTGAAGGCACAGGGCTCCGTGTGTGTGTGTGACTGTGAAGGCACAGGGCTCTGTGTGTGTGTGTGTGAAGGAGGGGGGCTGCCCCAATGTCCCCTCTGTCGGTCTGTCCGTGCCATCAGGATGGGGACTTGCAGTCGGTGGGCACGGAGCAGGGTGTGCAAGGTGAACGGAGCTCTTTATTCGCGCTCTGGGGAATAAGAGCTCCGTGCTGTGGTTGGTTTGTACCTTCAGGGCTGTCGGATCCCTGGCAATGGAGCTGTATCGCCTGGGCTACTCAGGTCGGTCCTTCTCCTCAGCTCAGCAGGAAGGTGGTTCCAAGCGGGGGTGCGAGGGTTGTGTGCACATCCAGCGGTGTGTGTGGAGAGCTTGGGGTATTCACTGTATTGGTAAAGGCTTGGATATCGTGAGTGGGCCTGCATTCACCCAGGCTTGTAGGTGAAGGAAACATGGAGGCCTTTTTCTCTACAGTTCCTAGAAAACAAAGCTGCATTTTCCATGAAGGTTCTGCCGTACCTTGGCTGGTCCCTGATGTGCTCTTGGGTTTATTTGCTGCTGGGTTACTCGTTTAAAATGGATCATTTTGAGTAATGTGCTAGAAGAAAATATTATTGAGAGGCCAAGGATCTTTTACTCACAAGTAGTAGTGGCTTTCTGAAATGTTGTTTGGGTAAATAAATGCTGTGGGGTTTTTTTGCTTTGTTTTGGGGCTTTTCTTTCCCCACGGGTTATGAATCACTGGTGTATTGTTTTGAATAGGAGACTGCCCACTGTGGTACCTTAAAATAAAAAGAGGTTCCATGAAATAATAGAAGCTGGAGTTTTCCTTGTAGTATCGTAAAATGTGTTTAGTGATGTAGTTGGTCACTGCTGTGTATAAATATTCAATAACTGAAGCATTAAGGAAGAAGCACTGTAGGCATATAGGCAATCTGTTTTTAAAAAGGCTTTCTGTATCCTGAAGTGTGTGCATCAAGGATCAGTGGTTTTTGTTTGCTTCGAATTATTACTGTTTGCATTTTGGCAGTTTTTTGGTCATTTTATTTTGAATCTCAACGTTTGAGTAAGAGCTGTCTGCAGTGATCTTGTGTTTCTGTTTTAGGATGTGGTAGAGGCCAGTCAGTGCCATCAGGATTGAATTGTTGTTGTGAACAATGGTGTGAGAATGTTTGTGGGCAGTCTCTGACAGAAATAGCTTTACTGCTTGCTGCTGTAGGATTCCCTACTGAAATAGTTGATGTGGGCCTGTGCAAGTGCCATCTCATAACAATCCTAATGTAATGTAGCCCTGGTTTATGAATGGATCCTGAGAAATACAAATTTTCAATGTCTTTCAAAAGATGCTTTCAAGCAAAAGATTTGTATTTTCTATTTTAACTTGATCTGTAGAATTTTTTTGTTGGTGGGTAAATGGTGTTCTGTTGGTGAATCTTGGACGTCCTTAACAGAGTGTCAGTGTGGCCTGGAGCTTAGTGGGGGATCAGCAGCTGCCTCAAAGGCAACAGTCATGTAGTTATTGGCATTTTTGTAGCAGTTATCCCTGTTTCACATGGAAATATTCCCAGGGACAAGGTTCTAGGTTGAGGCTGAGCCATGGGATATGGGGGTTGGGTCAAAACTCTTTGCAGTGTTTCACTTTCTGTTCCAAGTCAGTGACTGAATTTCAGTTCTGTGGTACTTGAAACAAAAGTTTAAAAAATCAGCCGCTAACCAATCTGGATGTAAACAATTTTTTTTCCATATTGCCAACCCTTATGCAGTAGGATCTGCAGTGTTACTGTAGACCCAGAATATTCTGCCTTTATATCAGTAAAGTCAGCAACAGCAATGCTGAAGCACAACTGCTGTTGATTTATCAAAAATAACTCGGGATTTTATTTTGCATCTAACTTACGTAATGGCTTGCCAATACTTAATTTGCAAATACAGTGACATACTTTTTGCATCTTAAATTGTAAATCAAAAATTATTGCTGAGCTGAAAGCATAGAGACCATATCTGACTGTTTAGCTTTTTTTTTTTTTTAACTGTGAATTGTCCTTGCAGCACTTTGTGCAAGAAATCCTTATTTTATTATTTACCTGAATTTGTCTTCTGGCTGTTCAAACAGATCTTATGCTGCTGTTAATGAACTTCTGGAAAAAAAATAAAATCATAGGCCTTGAGATATCAAGAGGTATCTTGAATATTATAGTCATTTTATGAACACATGTAGTTTTGCTTCTCTCTGTGTGAGCAACATTAGGCCCCCTGGCAGTTAAGTAATTGAGTCTATCACATCAGTGTAATCACGGTCTGCTTAGCTGGAGAGTTGTGTGTTTGCTGGTTTGTTTTTTTAAAGATAGGTTCCTGTGCTGTGTTGCCATGCTGATCTAAGCCAAGCTGTGCCTTTAGTGATTTTACCCTCTTGTAGTGAGCACTTTTTACAACACGAATTTAGCAAATATGAAAGGTGCTTGATTGACAGCTCAAGATACAATTTGTGTGTTCTGGGTAATGCAGTGGAGCCATCAGGCTTCCTTGTTCATGGCTTTGTCACAGCGGATCTGATTCCCACTTTTTAATTCTGAGGGAACTTCCAAGCAATTATAAGTAAGTGAGTGATTGCCTATAAATAGATTAACGATTAACTTTGAAACTTCTCCTCTCTCACCACCTGCTTCCTCTTCATATCTGAGGAGTAACACCAGTGTATTTCCTGCGTGACTTCAGAGCGAGCCCTCCTGTCATGGCCAGTAACAGCCTTGGCAGGGCAGGAGGAGTTCCCACCTTGAGATCCCCGTGTGTGTCTGCTGAGGGATGGGAGGAGACAGCCTGTCACAGAGACCGTTATCAGCACTACTTGCATGTTTCTGATTTTTTTTTTTTTGCATCTTATTTCTGGCTCTTCCAAGGTATATAGTCATTCATGTGATTACAGATTAAACCTAACAAACCTACAGCTCAACACTAAGTGGGAAATGCACAGGAATGCTAATTTATAATGTTGTTCTGCCTTTACAGTATATACTTCTGAACCAAGTATGTTTTCCTTTCTGAATAAAGTTATTTTTGTTTGTGGTGCCAGTGTTGATTGAATGAATGATGGCAGGTAACTGAAGAGCAACAGCAAACTCCAATATTCAGCTAAAGAAATTAACATTCATCTAGGATGTGTATCTTAAACCTAGATTACACTCTAGAAATCAAGCATATTGCAAAACATGGTTCTTCAGTAGTGACTCCTTCAGATTTGAATGAAAAGAGAAACTCGGTTCGATGGTTTCTTGGGAGGGAGGGGTTAGTGTTTATGTTTGGAAATGCATCTGCTGCAAAACCTGGAAGTGACAGAGTTTATAAACAAGTAATTGTGGAAATTCCCCACAGTGTTTTCAGAACATGCCCAGTGTTTGGGCTGAGAGGAAATGAGTTGTGTGTGCTTGAGGCTTTGTTGCTGAAGGCCAGTGCTAAGGATCATTGTTAAGGATACTTGGTGTGATGGGCAAGCTGGGAGAAGTCTAAGTTTGGTGAGTTGAAGGTAAAACAGCTAATTATTGGTTTGCCTGCCTAGAAGGACTGCATTATGAAGAATATCACTTATATCTTAATATTGAAAACCCCAGATTCCATGTCACAGCCTTATCTGAAATACCTACAAGAAACACGTGATGTGCAATTTTTTGACTTTTTGTGTTCTCCATCCATCAGAATTATATTTGCCATTGCATTGACTATTTTTGTGCCTTGGAATATCCAGCATTTAGTGCTGTAATATTTCTGCCTTTGGTCAGCTGAGGAACTTTTGTTACTACGTATTTCTACTTTGTTACTGATTATTTGCAAAGGGTGCAAATGTATTTAAATCACAGAATGTATCACAAAACCTCGTGGGATAAAGTGGAGTAGCCTTTGCTTTTTGAGGTGTTCTTTTTGGTGAAATGTGTCTTTGTGTCTTCCCATTAGTTGTGCAGCTTGGTTAGAGTGGATACAAAAGTACATATTCATTTTCCCAGCACGGCTGAAATCTGTCCTTAGCAAAAAGGTAACAAAATCAGGGCTGAAGGCTGGAATTCCACGGAAAATGTTAAGATACTTGATTCTTTTTTTTGTGTGTTAAAATTTGTACATGACAGTGTGAAGAGACTTCTGAGTTCTCTGCTTTTCTCTGGCTGTCCAGCAGTCTAATGTTCATCATTCTTCCATCTAATCTGGGATTGTTTGCCACTTGCTAGGGAAATGTGCTGCCAGGTCTGTCAGATCTAGAGAAGGTTGAGCACTTGAGCTGAAAGAAAAAAACTCAAGTCTTACTCTCTGGTACAGACCTAAAATAGCTTTGTGCTTGGCAGACATGATCATCACACGTGTGCTCCCGTGTGTCAGTGTATGATTTCTGAAAAAATGGTTTTGTAGTTAAAAGGCTTGAAGGAATCC